TTTGAGTTCATAATAATTGTCCTTTTAGAAAGGGGTAAAGTGGCCGAGGAAGGGCTATGTCACCTTTGGGGCAGAAAAGGAAAGTTATCTCTTCTCCAGAGAGTCTGTCTTCCTTCACAAGAAGCCATCCTCTTCAAAGCCCAGGCCACCAAAGCTCTTCCATCTCTGCTGGCCCACACTTGGCCAGTGAATGAGAACACTCTCTGGCCTGGTACCCCACCTGGTCCAGCCGTGGCCAATGTACTCTGCCCTTTGCAATCAGCCAGGGGAGAAAGCTTAGGAGATATCCCTGAGGAAACAGGCCCAGGCAAATGGAGTGACCTGGTCAAGAGCCAGACAGGGTGGATGTGCTGAAGGCGGGCTTTGAAGCCTGGGCCTCCAGCCGGTCTCTCCCTAGACCCAAATCTGAACCTCCAGCTCTAGGCGGGAGGTCTTGGCTCTTGGGTCTACTTGCAGGAAGAGGCTGACTGGAGCCTTTCACATCGGAGACTCCATGGGGTGCTGTACCGACTCCATGTCCACCTCTGGCATTTCCTAGGTCACCCCATTTCCCTTGGCCTGTTTTCTCACCTGTAAAGTGAAGGTGTCAGCTCAGATGCTTCTGAGGTCCTCTCACTTCTGGCTCTGCGGTCCTCTGCTTCTTGTATCAGACAGGAGGCTAGACTAATGGAATGGCCTCTCCAGCCCTAACATTCGGCACTGAGCCCCTGTGGTTCTCCTTAATTATCGTGTGTGTGGCTGTGCTTCCTGCCCCCTTCCTTCTTGGCACCATGGGGGAAGGGAGAGAAAGGGCCCCTCTGAGAAGTGGCAGAGCTTGTCTTGGGAAGCAGTGTAGGTGACTTGGTGGAAACAGAACATCTTAATGTTCCTTAAACGACCCCTTTTGGAGCGCTCATGATGTCTAGAGTGGCGTGAAATACGCGTACAGAACACACTGTACCCAGCGGGCACTGCCCTGCCTGGCATACGCCTTCCTGCAGCTCGGTGCTTCCATTATCTCCATCCCAAAAGCTTCCTTCCTCTCAATGACAAGATTCTGCTTCTTAAAACCCACGTAATTATCTATAGCGTGTTTCCATTCTCCAGACGTCAACGCACACCTTGTTTCTTCAGCCTGTTATTTCATGGATGTGTAATTAGCACGCATTCCATCTGCTGGCGACAGGGGGATGTGGAGTCTGCTGGTGATGTCTGAGATGAAGATACTTCTTAACCCTTCCTGTGGAGCTGAGCTCCGGAGATGTGTGTGCCACAGTGTGTGGGGAGGAGCCCTGCCCCAATCTTTCAGAGAAGATGGATCTCCCACATACACATGGGCACGAGCTTTGGGCATGCAGCCTCTGAGAAGATGCTTTTCATCAGACAGCATCCTAGGACCTGCTGGGGCCATTAAAGGATGTGGAAGGGGATGCGCTGGCAGGGGCCTTCCTTCCTGAGGGAGACTCTGGCCATCCCTGGCCAGAGTGTGAGGGCGCTGACCCAGCAGCTTCAGTGTCTGCAGTGGGATGAGTCCGGGGCTGTTTGGTACAGTGGTCTGGAGCCTGGGGCTAAGGAAGGGCAAGGTTGTGGGTTAGGACCCTGGGAGAGCTAGCTGCTTTCTTCTGTTACCAACCACAAACTGACCCCCCAGTGCCATTTAGCTACCTCCTAATGTGTGCCATAGTCTGAAGAAGCACCAGCTGAGGGAGTGTGGAAGGTTCAGCACAGCCCATACCCACAGCCACAGGGACAGCTCAAGCTCACTTGCTGCTCGCTGTGGGTTGGTTAGCCCCAGAGCACTCCTCCCTGTGGGCTAGGGAAATAGCTCATTGTGTACTTGGCCCATTCTCAGTTGGGCTTCCCTTCCCAGGAAATGAGGCTAGCCTTCCCCTCCCCCTTCAAACAGAGCGGGATCTTCTTCAAACTTGTATGTCTGTGTCAACAGGAGATATTTCTGTCCCTCCTCCTGGCCCCACCTTTAAGGTGCGCCACTGCCTTCCTGGACTAACTCTTCCCACCTTCTATTTCTGCATTCCAGCCTCCACACCTCGTTTGGTTGCTAGGTAGAGACATGATGAATGGGTTTGTGGGAACCACCTGGTAGCAGAGATGGGAGTAGGTTCCATGGGTCTTGCTCAGGAAATTAGCCATTTGCGGTTCAAATCTCCGCTTTCCTAATAGGGATGGAGTGATTCTTCCCATCCATTGAAAGGGGGATAATAGTTCCAAGGGAGCCTACTTTGCCAAAGGAGTCTGTGGGATTCTCTGGAGCAGAGGATGGGCAGACCCAGCTGGGAGACAGGCATTCTGGGGCATTAAGAGAGCAGAGTCTAGTATAGCAAAGGGAGTTCCCAGGGGACAAGGGGAAGGCTTTGATTATCTGGAAGCCAAGGTTTTTAGAGGCTGTTAGTGTGCCTGGCTGGCATGAGATTACCTTCCAGCATTGCACTTCTTGACCTGGGATCCATCTATCCCCCAAGGGTCTATGGATAGATTTCAGGGGGTCTGTAAATTTGAGTGGGAAAAAATTACATCTTCATTTTAGTATAATTGGTTTTCTTTCTAATCCTGTGTATTCTATTTTACGCATTTAAAAATATGATTGTGAGGAGGAGTCCATAGGCTTTTGCCAGACACCATAGGGACATGCCCTCAAAGAGCTTACATTCTTCTGAGTGGGGTCAGCACATGAGGGAGGGTGTGAAGATAGAACTGATGGTTGTGGGGAGCGGTGTGAGAGTGCAAGGAGCTGAAGTTGTCTCCAAGGTTATGAACTTCATGACTAGGACAAGGGCGATGCCCTTGACAGAAGCAGGAGATCAAGAGAGGGCTGGGTGGAGAACCAAGTTGATGTTTGAGATGGTTCTGAGACATCCAACAGGCAGTTAGAGATGGGGGAACAAGCTAGGGACAGAGATGAAGGCAGGACACAGATATCTGGGAAGGATAGGCATTAAGAGGACAGATGAATCTACGGGAACTGATGAGATCATCCAGAGAAATAGAAAGAAGAGAGAAGGCAGCCCAGGACAGAACCTGGTGTGGGTGGGATCCACAGGTAGGAGGCAGGCTGGAGGATGAGCCAGCAAAGGAAACAGGGGAGGAGTGGTCAGACAGGCAGAATGTGTAGGGCTGAGTCAAGTTTAAGAAGACTGGAGAGGGAGGAGGAAGCCAGGTGTCTGTGAATGCCAAGCAGAGGATCTTGGAGGTGAGAGGGAGCCCCCACAGTGGCCTGAGTAGGGGGCTCATGTGGTCAGCTTTAGGAAGAGTGGCTGAGTGGAGGGGGGAAAGGACCTGAGGCAGGCAGAACCCCCGCCTCCCCCAGCAGCCACTGCTATGGTCCAGGTGTGAGGGGAGGAGGGTCTGCCCCAGGGTGGGGGCAGGATCAGAGGAGAGAAGGAGGGGTGGGGGAGAGATGTTTCCAAGGTAACTAGACAGACCTTGACCACAGACTGGAGCTGGGGGTGAGAGTGAGTAACTGAGGATGGCACCTGGGTTGGGAGCCTGGGGGACAGGAAGGAGGATGGTGCCCTTGAAAGTAATAGGGAAATTTGGAAGAAGGGAGGGATGGGGTGGGGAAGGTAATGAGCTCAATTCTGGACATGCTGAGTTTAAGACGTCTACTGGACATCCAGTTTGAGATGTCTGAAAGGCAGTCAGAGATTCAAGACCAGAAATTAGCAGAGGCTAGGGCTGGCTGAGTAGATCTGGGAACCATGAGTATGAAGAGGAGGCCGCTAGGGGGCGCCATAGTGCACGGAGCGCCAGACCTGGAGTCTGGAAGACTCCCTGAGTTCCAATCTGGCCTCAGACACTTCCTAGCTGGGTGACCCTCAGTTTCCTCATCTGTAAGATGGGCTAGAGAAGAACATGGTTAAACCTCTCTAGTATCTTTGCCAAGAAAACCCCAGATGGGGTCATGAAGAGTCAAACACAACTGAAACAAGTGATCAACAGTATAGAAATGAGAACTGAATCCATAGGAGCTGATGGCATCTTGTGGTGAAAGACTCCTGTTGAGTCCCGACTAAATCTGCCTTCTGCAGGAAACTTTCCCAGCCCCCTCTGAATCCCAGCGCCTTCCCTCAGGCCAGTTTTTCCTATCTATCTTGCATACGATTTGTTTTGTATGTAGTTGTTTGCATGCTGTCTCTCCCCACCCAGACTGTAAGCTCCCAGAGGGCAGGGACTAGCTTTCGCCTTTTTGTACTTAGCACAGTGCCTGGCACATAGTAGGTGCTTAATGTTTATTCATTGATTGAGCCTTGGGGGGCATCCACAGTTATCAAGCATGACTCAGATGAGGATGCAACACAGGGAGGCAGAGAAGGAGTAGTCAGAGAGGTAGGAGAGACCTGGGTCCATTTTCCTTCGGCCAGAATGAGCCCAAACTCCTCATAATGGTGGGAGGAGGTGGGTCAGTCCCGCCAGCAACAGTGCTTCAGGTCATCACATGGGCCAGCCCCCTGGCAGCTGCTCTTCAGGCCTCCTTCCCTGACAGCCCGGATCATCTTCCCCTCCCTCTCCATCCCAACCACTGTTAGCATGTCTCTCCCCTCTAAGAGTCTACCATGACCCCGTGATTGTCATCAGGTCAATACTGACTTCCTTCCCTACACTTCTGGGTGCCCCATCAATCTGGCCTTGCCCTGTGCATGGCCCCACCAGTCTGGTCCCTGCCTCAGACTTCAGTCACTGGTCCGGGTATCCTCTCTGTCCATGCACTGTCATGCTCATCCCCACCCTGACACATGGACACCTCAGTTATTCAGGGCTGGGCTTTTCTTGTTCTCCATCCATCAAAATCCTGCTTGTCCAGAGAGGACACGCCCCTCTCACCACCTTCTCTGGACAACAGGCTGCCTGCTCTGACTACAGGTGAAGGCAGCCCTGTCTGGCACACATGTGGCCATGCCAGGACATGTGGGCACTGACCTCCTGGCAGGGGGTAGGGAGGAGAGCTGGGGATGGCTTTTCTGACACCCATAATGAGTCTGGCTCTTCTCTCCTCTGTTTTACAGTCTGTGGTTATGCCCAGCCGGAGAGGGACTGCAGAAGCATTGCAGATCACCGTGGGCCACATCTTGGGAGATGCTGGCAGCCCCTACCTCACTGGACTTGTAAGGACTTGGGAAGGGGCAGGGATTGCTTTCTTGAAGGCAGAAAAGGGCGCTTTCCTTCCCTGGGGCTGGACTTCCTATGCCAGAGAGTGTCTGAGTTGGAAAGTCCCTCAGGGACATCCCATTTGGCCCACATTACACCCCATAATCTCCTCTGGAACATCCCTAGTAAGTGGCCATCTATCTGCCCCCCTCCAACCAGGCAGCCAGCTCCACTTTGGGACAGCTTTCAGTGAGAAGAAGGTCTTCCTGCTCTCTGGCCTCAACAGGTCTCTTTGAAGCTTTTCCCTTCTCCTCTTTTGTGGCTCCCAGCTCTGCCTTTGGGGCCAGGGAGAACAAGCCTGGTCCCTCTTCCAGGCTGTGGACTTTCAAACATCAGTTGCGAGGCTTGCTAGCAAGAGGCTGAGAACGTGGGGATCCCTAGCACTCTGATCTGTGGGAAATGGGGAAAGACAAATTCAGGGCAGAGTTGGAGGTACAAAGTTGTAGCTAGCTCCAATTCTGGCAGCCAGATAGAGGGTGGATTGGTCGGAGGAGAGACAAGTTAGGGCTGCTGACCTCCTAGGAGGTTATTGCTAGATTCCAGCAGGAGTGAGATGGGTCTGGCCTGGGGGAATGGAGAGAAGAGGTGTCTGAGGGATAACAGGGAGGTAGAAAGGACCAGATGTGGTGACATCATCTTCCCAATAAGACTTGTAAGAGGGACTTGGGCATGACAATGAGGTTGTGAGTGACCGAAAATACAGCGATGCCTTCAGTAGGAGGAGGAAGACTGGTGAGTGGGGAAGGCTTGGGGAAAAGCTGGTGAGTTCTGTTTTGAACATGTTGAGTATGAGATACCTATGGGACATTTTAGACACATCCAAAAGGCGTTTGGTGATGTGGGACTGAAACTCAGTTGAGAAACTCAGGCTGTCTTTACCGATCTAGGAATCCTCTGCCTGCAGATGCTAATTAAACCCAAAGGAGCTGAAGAGATTAGCAAAGAAACAGTAGAGAGGGAAAAGGGAAGGGGCCCAGGGCAAAGCCCTGGGTGTGACCTGGGTAAGGGTCTATGAGAGGAAGCCAAGAAGCAGTGGTCAGGCAGGGAGCACAAACCCAGAGACAGGAGGCCAGCGAGGTATTTTATATAAACCCCATTTTCCCTCCTCATTGGAATCCTAACCCTTTGTATCCTGACAAAGTCATTCTCACGAGTTTACCATTGCCCCTAAATTAACTTCTCTTATAGAATAGAATAGTCCATGAAGCCCAACCCACCTTCACCTCTGAATGTGTTTTTCCCACATCTAGAGGGCAGATTGGACTGTGCCTGGCTTTCCTCACCTCTCACCTAGATTCTAGGGAGCAGTAGGCACTTTGTCCGATCCAGAATTCCCACCCTTTCAGACCTAGCAATCTCTGCCTCCCCAGATGTGAGAATAAGATTGCTTATTGGTAAGGAGAAATGTAATTAGGCTAGTCCAGGAGTCATTGCTGGCTACTTTTTGAAGAGAGAGAGAGAGGCAGGCAGGCAGGCAGGCAGAGAAACTCCAGTGTGTACACGTGTGGGTAGTCGAACTCTGGAAGCCTAGATAGCAGCCACTTGGCTGTGGCCAAAATACAGTTATTGCCCTTCCTGGCAGATGCTACAGAAGTCGCTCTGGTTTCCCACGGATGGAGTGTCTCAAACTTGTTTTTGAAATGCTTGCAGACGCTTCCACTCTGCCCTTAAAAGTGCCTTCTTAAAACTTTAGAGCTTTTTATGAATGTTACAGCCACCAAACTTCTCTCTTTTCAGGCCAACCTCGTATTTAATATTTGCCAGTTTGGTCTAGTTACCAATTTTGTGGCCAGTCTGTTCACCGGCTGTTTGCTTACCTTTTCTCTCCTGCCTCTCCTTCCCAATTGCATTCTCCCCTGGCTCCCTCTTCAAGATGGTGCTCAATAATCCTTCTCAATCCTTGTTACTGCTCCTGGTTCCCTTTCATTCCTCCTCATCCCATCTTCTCTGGGAATGACTAGAAGTAGCCTCTGCATGGGACAGGGTTCTCTTGCTAATTTTCCTCGTTGTCTCCACAAATTCCTTCAGTCTCTGGCCTTCTTCACCCCTTCAGGCCATCTTCACAATTTTTTCTCCTTATTCAATCAAACACTTCTCTCTTCTCCTGCTCCTTTCCCCACAATTTTTTCCCATAGAAGGTGGAGGGGGTGCTGTTTTGAAGAGAGCTCAGGCAGGTCTGAAGCCTTTGAGATGTGCCCTCAGGTAGCATCCGAAGCCAGAAGCAGCTGCCTCTGGTCTGCTGGGGCCGGATCTTCTTTGCACGAAGTCAACTCAAGTTAGGTCCAAAGCTCATGGCAAACTCCATCTAAGGCAAACTACCAGTACAGGACTGATAGTCCAAGAAAATCAGAAGGCACCTGCAGAGCCCTAGAAAGGTGAGGCAGCACAGTCCCTCAAACTTGCCCCCAAATGTGAAACCCTGTGGCGAGCTGACCTGGCATGTGAAAACCTCTTTCCCACAAACCAGGGACACTTTACGTGCTGGCTTTCTGCTTGAAGAAAAGGAATTTGTATAGGATTCCTTTAAGTAGCAAATGTCCCCAGGGTACTGGGTGTCCCAAATAATTGCCCAAAGATCACTTTTTACCAGCCTGTTTCAAGAACAAGTTGATTGCATGAAGTGAAGTGACTCATATATGGATGCCCTCCGCATGCCTGGTCCTGTGATGATGCCATGGGGCAGAGACAAGACGAGGTGCCACATGGCCCTGCCCTCCCTGGGGAGATGGCACCCTCTCCCAACACATGCAACAGGCCAAGACGGCGTGTGAGCAGGGCCCGGCTGCACATCTCAGGCCCAAGCCTAGAGAAGTCCAGAAAAGGGAGGTTGCTGTGCCTCTTACAGGAAGCCTTCCCTGGTCTCTCCTTTGGTCAGTGCTCCCTCTCTCCAGTTATGACGTGCACTGTGGGTGTGCTGTGTCTTCCCAGAAGTCGGGAGCCTTCTTGAGGGACTCTTCTGTCCCTGCTTTGTCCCCAGTCTTTGCCTCCCCAATACCGAGCGTAGTGCCCAGCCCATTCTGTAGCAAGGATTAACACATGCTCGTTGAATTGGATTTGATAGGACAGGAATCAGCAGGGGAGGCTGGGTGGGGTGGGGGGGGTGTGGACTTGAAGGACAGCTGCGGCAGCGGGTGGCCTAGGAGAAGGGACAGGGAATGGCTGGTGCTGGCAGAGGGTAGGGGAGGGCCCCTGCTTCTGCCTGGGTTTCATCTCAGGACAGCCTGACCCGCAGACGCTGCCGGGGGGCCAAGCAGCCTCCCTCAGCCCCTCCTTTTCTCTGGGCAGGTGTCTGGCGCCCTCCAAACAGCCCACGTGGACTCCTCCCTGTGGCTCTTCCGAAGTCTGCAGTACAGCTTCTTCACCTGCATCTTTGTTGATGTGCTGGGGGGTGCCTGCTTCCTGGTGACTGCCTTGTACATGGAGCGTGGCCTGCCTCAGGCCCCAGCTCAGCCATCTGCTTAGCTCCCATCCTGGTCCCATAGTTGGTAAGCACAAAAGTTTGGTGCTAGCAGGTACCTCGAAGGCCATCCAGTCCACCCTCTCATTTCACAAAGGAGGAGACCGAGAAAGGCCAGAAAAGAGAAGGGACCCCGTGGCCGGGCTCTCGTGCTGCCCCTTGGGCCCTCCCTGGGCCCTGGCTAAAGGCTGACCTGTTGACCACTCAAGCCTTTGGTCCCAGGTGGGGGGAGGGTGACTGAGCTTGTTGCTGTTTTCTGATGTTTATCCCCTGCCTCTCTGCCCCCCAGGATGCCTTAGTGAAAATGCCAGTGTCTGCACTACACAGCCCTTGGCTCATCTGCTCCCCACACTGATGTTGAACTCTGTCCCCACTGCCACCGAAGAGTCCTGGTAGCACAGAGGATGAAGGTCTCAGCCTCCTGGTGCTGGGGGTCCCAGGAGTGAGCAGCCTCCATCTTCACTCTTCTTGGACACTGCCCGCTGGCTGTCTCCTGCTGCCTTGACCTGGGCCTGGCCCCTGAGAAACCTATTGAGTCAGGAGGAACTGTGGGCAGGCTTGGCTGGGGAGCTGCCCTTGGTGCTGGCTGCCTCAGGGGATTGAGCGGTTGGGTCTCCGTCTTCAAGCTGACTGTGCCAGGGCCTCTCTGGGGAGATGGGGGGAAGGGGGACAAGGAGGGGCTGGGAAGAGTACTTGGGCATTTCTCCCAGCCCCAGGCAGATTCTTTGTCAGGACCTGTCTTGACTTAGGGAAACTACAGGGTATGCAGCCCTTGGGGGCTGAGAAACCTGACAACAGAGAGATAATAAAAATGTGCTGTGGCTTCTGTTTTGAGTGGGCCTCCCTGGGGGCATGGGGGAGAGAAGCCTGGGCATGCAGGGACCTGCAAACTGTGGGCTCATTAGTCAGATCTCAGGCTTTGCTTGATTGGGTCGCAGGCGGTGTCAGCCTCCAGCAGCCCCTGGGAGGAGGCAGGAACCCGTACTTGGGAGGGGGCTGCTGTGAGGTGGGAGAATGGGTCCAACTAGAGGGAGCTCAGGGAAGTGGGGGAGGGCTCTCTGACCCATCAGAAAACATCAGGCCCGTCCCTCTTCCCTAGGTGGGTCCAGAGCCCTCCTTTCACACACAAAGGTCCCAAGTCAGCTCCCCAAAGGTGTACCAGGCATTGCTGAGGGCAGCGTAGGAGGACCACCCAAGTCCTCTCCTCTCCCTCCTAACTGCTGTGATTCCCTCAAGGGCTCCAATCAAAGCCCACCTTTTACAAGAGACTTTCTCCTGGTCCTCCAAGGTGCTGAAGCCCTTTTCTGACATTACCCTCCATCTACTCTGTCTCTATCTTAGTCATGATAATAATTAATCATGGTAGCTAGCACTTTTAGGTTTGCAAAGTGCTTTTCAAGTGTCATCCCCTTTTATCCTGACAGCAGCCATGGGAGGCAGGGGCTGAAATTATCCCACTTTTTATAGATGGGGAAATGGAGGCAAAAAAGGGTTAAGTGACTTGCCCAGGAGCATGTGGCTGGGAAGACTGGAGGCTCCAGTGTGCTAGCCACGTACCCCCTGGTTGCTTCACCTTAGGTGTGACTACTTTTTTCTGTGTTGTCTCCTCCATTGAACTGCAAGTTCCTTGAGGGCAGTCCCTATTTTTACCATTCTCCTCTGCAGAGCGTTAACACCATGCCTGGCACATGGCTCTTAGAGGGTGCTTGTTCAAAGGCAGAGAAGAGGGTGTGCATTCCTGGAATGAGGCTCAGCTTGGACAAATGCACAGAGCTGGCAGATGGGGTGTAAGCAGGGGAAGGGCCAGCAGCCCAGTTTGGCTGGAGCCCAGAGGGCAGAGACAGGAAGTGAAGCCAGGAACCCAGGAGCCATGACCAGGACTAGCTACCAGCTGGGGCTCCAGGGACCAGGCTTCAAACCGAATGCCATTTTCTTCCATTCCTCACCTCCCACATTGCCCCTTCTTCTTTGGGACCCCCTCCCCCTCCTCCAGGCCCAAATAGGGCAAAGGGGAGCATGGGGGAGTCAGCGAATATTTACTAAGTGCCTGCTATGTGCCAGGCACTTGGGATACAAAGACAATCCCTGCCTCTGAGGAGCTCACAATCTAGTGGGGGAGGCATCCACAGGAGAAACAGAGCGAATCACCAGAGGAACAAGGGAACTAGCATTAAGGGGGATCAGGTAAGGCTTCTTGTAGAAAGTGAGTCTTTAGCTGGGACTCAAGAAAGCCAGGGAAGGAAACAGTCAGAGCCGAGGAGAGTGTTCCAGGTCTGGGGCACAGCCGGAGAGAATGCCGGGAGCTGAGAGATGGAGGGTCTGGTTCATAGAAGAGCCAGGCATCCGGGGTTCAAAGAGGAAGTGGTGGGGAGAGGGGGGTGAGAAGACAAGAAAGGGAGGGGGAGCAGGGTACAAAGGGCTTTAAATGCCAATCCTGGAGGTGATAGGGAGCCACTGGAGATTATAGACTGGGGAGTGACATGGTCGGACCTGGGCTTTAATTTAATTCTTGCTTTCCTAGGGTTTTGGTCTCAGTGTGGATGTGACCTAGCTGTGGGTTCTTGGGCACTTCATGTCCCATCTTTTGGCCTTAGTCCTGTCCATTGGACTAGATGGTTCCTAAGAGCCTCCCTGGTTGGAAATGCTCCCTTGGTGGCCTCCCTACATTGGCAGAAAAAGAGGCAATCTATGAGTGACGGGGCCCCGTGGCCATCTTCTGTTCAGACAGCATGGGCTGCGGTCTGCGTCACAGGGGCCATGCCCACCTTGATGATGCCGCAGGCCCATTGGAGTGACTGGAGAAGTCCAGGACCAACCAGGCAGGCTTGAGGAGGGGCCGTGGACCAGAAGGAATTAGATGGTCAGCCAGGGAGGTTTCAGCATCCTGGCACCACAGACACTGATTAGCAGTGTGAAGAGTGCCCAGTCCTGGCTGTGCCTGACAGGTGGCACCTGCTTGTGCTCAAACCTTGGTGTCCGAGCTGGCCCTGGCACCAGCCTGGGGCACAATCTGTCCCAGGAATCCCCAGACAAGGGCCAGACGGCCAGCAATGGAAACAGGAAGGCTCCTGGCACCACTCAGTGGAGCAGACAAAGGAGGAGATAGGCTGGGAGTTGTGCCAGCCAGGGAGTGGAGTTCCATGAGGCCGCAGAGCTTGGCTGGAGCCAGCATGGTGAGGCTCTTCTAGATCAGGCCAACGAAAAGGAAGCTGAGTCACAAAACAATGGGGAGCCCCTAGAGATCTCTGAGCAGAGGTGTGGCACAAGCAGAGAAGAGCCTTGGGAAGGTTATTTCTGAAACTATGTAAAGGAAGGATGGGCAAGGGTTTGAGGGACCTAGGAGACTGGAGCTTTATGGAGAGGCAATGAGGGCTTCCACCCCCCTCCATATGGCCTCCCAGCCTCTGCTTGGAGCCCTCCACTTGAGGGGAGCTCACCACCTTCCTGGGCAGCCCATTCTGATTTGTTAGCTCACAAAGCCTAAATCTGTCTCCCCACAGCTCCACCCACCCATGCCGCCTGGCTTCTGTTCTTGGGTACCCGATCCATGTGGCAGCTGCGCTTTAGGCGCTTCAGCCAGCTCTCAGGTCCTTCCCCCCTCCCCCTAGTGAGTTCATTGGTGTTCTCTTTCTTTCTCTCTCTCTGTCTATCTGTCTCTGTCTCTGTCTGTCTCTGTCTGTCTGTCTCTCTCTGTCTCTCTCTCTCAGTTCTCCTACCTTTCTGACTGCTCCCTCTCTGTCCCCTTTGCTGGATCTTCTAGACCACGCCTTCTAACCAAAGGTGTCCCACAGGGTTCTGTCCTGGGCCCTCTTCTCTTCTTCCTCTAGAGGAAGAATTACATCACTTGGGGATCTCAACAGCCATCCCTATGCTGATGATTCTCAAATCTGCCGACTTCCAATCTCCAACTGCTTCTCAGACTTCTCAAACTGGACGTCTAGTAGGCATCTTAAACTAGACAGGTACAAAATCCAGCCTCCCCTGCCCTCCCTTCCCTCTTACTGCTGAAGGCACCACCATCCTCCCAGCCCCTGGGGCTCCCAATCTAGTAGTCCTCACTATCTCTGCCCCCCCCCCCGCAATCTGTCGCCAAGGCACCCTCCCTTGGATCTGCCTCCTCCTCTGACCCTGCCCCCACCCTGGTGCTGGCCCTTATCACCTCATGCTTCTGGGGGAGGGGCATGCCTCTCTCCAGTCTCTCCCCACTTCGGTCCATCCTCCATCCAGGAGCCAAAAGTGGTTTTTCCCAAGCGCAGGTTCCACCAAGCCACTCCATTGCCCAGTAAGCTGCAGTGGCTTCCTATCGCCTCCCGGAGCAAACACAGAATGCTGTCAGGCATTCAAAGCCCTTCATCACCTGCCCCCTCCTCCCTTTCCAGTCTCCTGTGCCTTACTCCCGCAGTGACCCTGGCCTCCTGGCTGTCCCATAAAAAAGACCGTCCATCTCTCATCTCCGGGCCTTCTCTCTGATTGTCTTCTATGTCAGGAATACTGTCCCTCCTCTGCTCTGACCACTGCCCTCCCTGGTTTCTTTCAAGTCCCAACTACACCCCCGCCTCTCCAGGAAGCTTTCCCCAGCCCCTCCTATTTCCAGAGCCTTCCCTCTGCTAATTATTTCCTATTTATCCTGTGTCGAGCTTGCTTTGTATATATTTGTCCCTTTGTCTCTTCCATTAGACTGTGAGCTCCTTGAGGGCAGGGACTGTCTTTTGCCTCTTTTTGTATCCCCAGCACTTAGCACAGTGTCTGGAACACAGTAAGCGTGTAATAAATATTGATTGATTGAAAAAGAGGATTTTGTATTTGCTCCTGGAGGTGCAG